CAGCACACATGAGGCCCTGAGTTTGGTCCCCAGCATGTGCATGCACACATGAACACACAATTACAAAAACAAAGGAAAAAGAAAGCTGACTACAAAATGATGAAGGGTGGCTGATATTAGGATGGTTAGGGAAGAGCTTTCAGAGCTGTTTTTTTGTTTTGTTTTGTTTTGTTACTAGAGATTGAACCCAGAGGCACTCAATACTCAACCACTGAGCCACACCCCCATCCCTTTTTATTTTTCATTATTGAGACTGAGTCTTGCTAAGTTGCTTGGCCTTAACCTTGCTAAGGTGCTGAGGCTGGCTTTGAACTTTCTATCCTTCTGCCTCAGCCTCCAGAGATGTTGGGATTATAGGTGTGCACAACAATGCCCAGTCTGAGGTGGCATTCTAAAGATTCAAAGTTAAGGAACACAAGAAAGAGAGAAAGGAAGAAAGGGGAGAGAGGCGGGGGGGGGGGGGAGAGAAACATTTTAACAGAAGACAACAGCCTTGAGAGGTTAAGTGTGCTTCTCATGTTTGAGAAATAAAGGAGACTAAGGAGACTAATGTGGATAAGAACAGATTGAACAAGGAAAAGAGTGGTGGAAGGATGTGATTTAGGAATAGCCAGGGATTAATCAGTGTTTTGGATTTATACATGGTGGGTTGCAGCTGTAAGAAATTGTGATGCTTTTTTTTTTTTTTTAATTTGATGGCTCAGTATTTTAGAAATCAATTCATTTAGCTGGGAGAGGCAGCACACACTTGTAATCCTAGTGGCTCAGGAGGCTGAAGCAGGAGGATCACAAGTTCAAAGCTAGCCTCAGCAAAAAGGAGGTGCTAAGCAAGGTCAGTGAGACTTTATTGCTAAATAAAAATACAAAATAGGGTTGAGGAAAAGGCTCAGTGGTCAAGAGCCCCTGAGTTAAATCTTTGGTACTGGAAGAAAAAAAGAAAGGAAGGAAGGAAGGAAGGAAGGAAGGAAGGAAGGGAAGGAAGGAAAAAAAAGAAATCAATTCATTTGAAGGTTTTGAGTAAAAGAGGGAAATGATCAGATTTATATTTTATCAGGATCCATCTTGCTGCTACACTATAGAGAAGGCAATAGTGGATATAAAAGACTAAACAGAATGTGGTGATAGAGAATCTGAGAGGTGTTTAGATTCAGGCAAAGCTTTGAAGATAGGATTGCTAATGGGTTGATTAAGGAGTGTTTAGCTTGAACCAAAAGTTTTGGGGTTTTGGTCTAGGCAGGTAACTGAATGAAGGTATTATTACTGACATGAGGAAACTGAGATGGAGATTCATTTCAGGACAGAAATTCAGTTTTAGATTTGGGAGAGATGGTTGACTTCTAGGTTTTGGGGGACAATAGATCTATAGTAACTGCAACTGGTGTTAATCTTTTACAGGGGTATGTCTAGGTGGAGATGAGGAAGCAGAGAAAGAGAAGAAATAAAGTTCCTCCTGAGTAATTCCCTACATATTCAAGTGATTAAAAAGTAGGTCAGTCATCTGAGCCTGTTTTATAGATAATATGATTTTAGGGTAGGAAGAAGTCTGTCTTCAAATTTTTTTTTCCGAATTTCTACTGTCTCAATTTGTGAATTTAAATCACAGTAATTTATTCCCTAGTTAGACCTAGAAAATAGGTGATTTAAAGCATCAATAGCTTGAGAGATAATTCGGTGTATATGAGTTTTTGTTAAGGTGTAACAGAGCAGATGAAGGTCCTGGATGTTTAAAAGGAGGCAAAGATTGCCTATGATAAGAGAAAACATGTAGATAAAACAAAGATTTCACAATCTTGCTGAGCATGTGCTCATTATTCAGGTAGACATTTATCATAATATCTAACTGAGAAAATAGAGAAAGAAATATTCGTATCTCAAAGGATCATCTAGGTTTATGTATGAGTGGGAAGCAGGCATCTAAATTCTTTCTCTTCCCCACAGTTTAATTCTTATTCTTCTCCCAAAAGTGCTCTTCAACTAGAAGACCTCTGGCATGATAGAGGATTGTCACCTCTGTGAGGGCCAGGTTTCAAGCTGATTGCTGTGGAGAATGCTACTTATCTGTACAATTACTCCATTTGATGTTGAGATATCCTAAAGGGAAGTTACTGCATTGAACACCAGAGAGATTTAAGGCAGTTTTTATATTATGTATTTTTTCTAATTGTCAGAGTAAGATAACTTCATGCAGAGCATTAAAAAAAAAGTTTTAAAACTCCAAACAAAAAAAGACTTAAAATTCCTACTAACTATGGGAACATTATAACAGCATTTTGGCATAGCTACTCCCAGTGCCTTGTGCCTTTTGTTCTTTCATAATTGAACTCCTTATTGTACAAGCAACTGTACATCCTGCTGTTTTTGCTTAATGTTATGATATACACATTTATCCATGTCATCGCATTTTTATGGTTACCTAATTAACTATAGTACAGCTATCCCATGATTTACTTTTTTGATTATTTATGGTTACAAGTAACACTGTGGTAAACTGCTGTGAGCAGTAAATTTTTGCTCTTATTTTGGGTGACTTACTGAAATAGTAAATGGTAGATTAAGGGTATATCCTTTTAAAAAATGTTTCTGATACATTGTTACACCGATTTCCAGAAAGGTTGTTATTAAATTATACTTGAGGGCAATGGAAAGCTATTAAAATTATTTAATCTGGCAGAAAATATATGTCAGCAGTTCTTACAAAGCATTGTGCCTTTGGGGAAAAGCCCCTTTGGAAAAGTGTCTATCTTAAAGTATGAAAATTCTTAACATTAGATTTTCTATACCACATAACATATCTGGGTCATGGGGAGAAGTAAGGGGGGAGAACTGAGAAGAATTTGAGATACTTAAACTAATATATCAGACATGATCAACATGAGAAACTAAGGATACCAACACTATGAAAAGACCTAAATATTTTAAATACTAATTCAGAATATTATTTGGTTATAACATGTCAGGTTTATTTACTTATTTTGTATGATTTCATGTTGCTTAAAGGGAAACAATGTAACTGGGTTTTAGTCCATTACTCAGTTGTGAAATCAGTTTATTTGCTATGACCAGTACTTTTAAATACTTTTAAGAGCAAATTCAGTCAAGTGTGGCAGCACTCACCTGTGATCCCAGCTACTCAGGAGGCTGAGGCAGGAGGATAACAAATTTATGGCCAGCTTGGGCAATTTGGTGAGACCTTGTTTCAAAAAAGGGCTGGGGATATAGCTCTGTGGTGGAGTATCCCTGGGTTCAATCCCCAGTACTGAAAAACGAAAACAAAAATATTATAAATTAAATGAAAAACGGGAAAGCATTGCACTTAATTAAGGGAAATATTATTTTGTGAAAATTGTTTTCAGTTGTGGGTGTATTACAGAACATATTTTTTTATCGTGGGATTTTATGAAAGAAAAATAATTTGAAGTCATTGGGATAGTGGAAAGAGTCTGGGCTTTGGAATTAGCTAGACCTCAGTTTGGATCTGGTCTGTGCATATGCATGACTTGCCAGTTACTACCTTCTCTCTGGCTCCTTCCCAGGGTGCGCACAAGGGTAGAAATTTCTTAGTGTGCAGTGATTAATAATATGTAATTACTTCCAAATATTTCCCCCAATAATGTCCTCCTTGTAGAAATATTCATGAGAGGGAAGACAATATGTTTTAGTGATGACTGAACTTGCTATATTCTATTTTAAAAATACCTCCCTCAGTCTTTTCTCAAATTTGGTTTAGTAAGGAGAGTTGAACACAGTTCTTTCCCGTCTTTTCCTGTTCTCGCATTGTACTTTTCTATATTATAAAATTTGGCATTTCACCTGTTGAATATTGTCTAATCATTTCATTGTTTAGCTAGTATTATGGACTTTCAAATCTCTTCTAGTTCTTAAGACAGAGCTGGGCACATGGCAGGGGGCCAGATGAAAATTTGTTGAGTTTGGACTACAGCACATTTTTTTTTTTTTTTTTTTTTTTTTTTTGCAAAGTATCGCTTGTTATGTACGGGGAAGCAGATGTAATGCTGATTCCACCAGCATTTCTCACTCAGTCTACTCCATGCTAAACAGGCCAGTTAGGCATTAAGTCATGTCTCTGGATAACACAAGTGGAAAGTGTGAACAGAAAAACCACTTTGTGCGAGGGCAGTTGAAAATTAGATCCCTTCCCCTCCCCATTCCTATTCCCATCGGGGAGGGGGCACTTATCAGCCTGGAGGACCAAGACCCACAAACGTGCTGGCGTCCTGAGCTCCAGAGGCTTGCCAGCACGCACGATCTCCCGCACTGAGAGCCCTTCTTCCCAGATGAATTCTCATAGTATCGCAGTCTCGATCGATACTGGATGGCAGACGTGCTCCCACCGTCAAGTGTAGGCACAGGGCGGTGGATTTAGCCACCCTGCCTCTCGATCGCAGCATCTCATCAGTTCAATACCTGCAGAGGATGTTAACCAGTTCCCCGGTGGACACCCACCCTGTGGTCTCCACTTCCCGCTGCGGTTTCCCTCCACAGTCCTCCCTGAGCGTCAGAGCTTTCCAGTCGGGCCTGGGGGGCGCAGGGTCGCTGCTGTGCGGGGCTCTCCAATGGATGGTCCCATCCCAGGAGGCGGCTGAGGTGGGGAGGGCCGCACTCCCTCACACTCCAGACCTTACCTTCCTGCGTCTTCACCTGGGGCCAGGGTTGAGCCGAACAGCAGGGGAAGGCTGCCCCTCTGCAGACCTCTAGCGGCTCAGAGGCACTGCTAGGAGGGGCAGTGATGTGCGCCGCCACCCAGCTGGGGCTTCAAGGCTGAGCCTGGCAGACAAAACCCCGCCCCCGGCACCCGCTCCCACTCCTGATTGGCTGGATCAGCCAGGAGGTGGCCCAACAGGCCCTCGGCTCACGTCCCAGCTATAAAGCCAGCCTCGGCATGACCGCCGTGGCGAAGCTTGTGTAGCTCTTGTCGCTCGCCCGCTCTCAGCCCTGTGGTCCCTCATTCCTCCTGGAGCCTGAGCGTTCCCGACTCCACCATGCCGAGGGGCTTCCTGGTGAAGCGAACTAAACGGACAGGCGGCTCATACCGAATGCGCCTAGCTGAGCGGGTCTTCCCCTTGCTGGGACCCCAGGTGGCGCCGCCCTTCTCCCTGGAGGTTCCCAATGTCTCCCTTCCCGGTGCGGAGCAGGCGGTGCCCCCCACCCAGGAGGAGCCCGGAAAGGGGCTGACGGCGGAGGCGGCCCAGAAACTGTCCGGGTCACCCTGTCGGGCGGCTGGGGTGATCCTGGGAATAGGCGGGCAGGAAGGCACAGAATGGAGGGCTGATGACAGGGAGGGTCCCAGACCCAGCCCCAGCCCCGCAAAGCCGGCGGGCACCGAACTCCGCCGGGCGTTCTTGGAACGCTGCCTCAGCTCTCCTGTCTCCGCTGAGTCTTTCCCCGGTGGTGCCGCCGCTGTGGCTACTTTCTCCTGCTCGGTGGCTCCAGCAACCGCACCGACCTCTGGGGAACAGTTTTTGCTGCCGCTCCGGGCACCATTCCCAGAGCCCGCGCTCCAGCCGGACCCTGCGCCCCTCTCTGCCACCTTGCAGGGCCTTAAGCGAGCCTCTGGCAGCGAGCGCCGTGTCAAGGTACCTCTAGGCTGTGCGCCTGGAGTCACGGCTGCCGGAATCAAGAAGCCAAAGGCCATGAGGAAGTTAAGCTTTGCCGATGAGGTGACCACGTCCCCTGTCCTGGGCCTGAAGATCAAGGAGGAGGAACCGGGACCACCTTCCAGGGGCTTGGGTGGCAGCCGCACACCTTTAGGAGAGTTCATCTGCCAGTTGTGCAAGGAGCAGTACGCAGACCCCTTCGCGCTGGCTCAGCATCGTTGCTCCCGCATAGTGCGTGTTGAGTACCGCTGCCCCGAGTGCGATAAGGTCTTCAGTTGCCCTGCAAACCTCGCCTCCCATCGCCGCTGGCACAAGCCACGTCCTGCAGCAGCAAGCGCTGCCACAGTCTCCTCCGCCGACGGGAAACCACCTCCTTCATTGTCTTCATCTTGTCCGGACTCCGGGTCCCTTGCATCTTTTCCGGCCGAAGGGAAAGAGAATAGCAGGGCAGAGCGAACTGCGGATCAGCACCCGCAGGTCAGGGACAGCTCCGGGGAGGATCAGCACCACGACAGTGCTTCGCACCAAGGCCTCCAGGTGCTTCCGCACCGGGAGTCACCATTGCCACAGGTCTCCTACCGAGAGGGGGTGTTGGGGCACCAGGTGTCTGGGCCGGGCAGTGCCAGTAGTGGTGGGGGATCTGAGATCTTCATATGCCCATATTGCTACAAAAAGTTTCGTCGCCAAGCTTATTTACGCAAGCACCTGGGAACTCACGAGGCAGGCTCAGCTCGTGCGCTAGCTCCCAGCTTTGGCCCCGAACGCAGGGCACCACTCTCCTTCGCTTGCCCGTTGTGTGGGGCTCACTTCCCATCCGCAGATATCAGAGAGAAGCACCGGCTGTGGCACGCTGTCCGCGAGGAGCTGCTCCTGCCCGCTCTGGCGGGGGCTCCTGGTGAAGCACCAGGCCCCGGAGGTGCATCTGATGGAAGTGCTCAGCAAATATTTTCATGCAAGCACTGCCCGTCCACTTTTTTTAGCTCTCCAGGGCTGACCCGGCATATCAATAAGTGCCACCCCTCAGAAAGCCGGCAAGTATTGCTGCTGCAGATGCCACTGAGGCCGGGCTGCTGAGGGCCCAAGAGACCAGGAAGATTTCAAGGCTGGCCTTGGGGAAAGCAGATCATAGGAATCGCTGTGGGGACTTTCTTCAACTTGCAAGTTTACTTTCTTTTCCATGCTTTCCCTCCTAAAACTCTCGCAGTAGTCAATGTTCTGCCAGGGGAGCAGACAGAAAAATGTAAAATCCTCCTCTAGAGCAGGTATGTATAAGGTATAAATATTCATAGTCAGACTGTCAGCTTTAAATCTTCCTCACTAAATCTTCCCCACTAAAATAGGATTTCCCCCCTCAAAACTCTGGAGACCCTAACAAATCCTATATGATTTGTAATTCCTATGGAAATTTGCAGTGAATGCATGCATGTCTCAATGTCTACAAAGGGTTCTGACTACCAAACGTGGTGGTAACCAGTTTTTGTTTTTCCTCTTGCCATCACAGGCACCTATGTAGTTTCTGTCTCAATAGGGTCAGATATCTTGCATTGTATATTCTGTGAATTAAAAAGTTATGTGATTGGTGCCAAACTTACAGGGGGCAAAGATTCAAGCACTGTGTCCAGGGCCAGGAAACATAAGAGGATGTTTGCTGCTTTTGGGGGACATGAAAATCTCCCTTGTAACCTTTTCACAATTATATGTACTAGTCTATTCTTAGTTTTTGGAGGTGGTACTTTACTAGAAGGAGTTGAGACACTCTCAAATTCTTACCTTTAGCTATTTTGTGTGCAGTATTCAGGAAGAGCTGCTTTAAACCTTTCTTTACATAGCTTTTCGGAAATGTAGAACTTGTTTCCTGACATTTGACTGTTTTAGTAAGATTTCACCCAAATTATTTAATGCTTCTGCTGTATATCTCATACTGTATATATGAAATTTGTTCAGCTTAAGGAAGATGTTAATACCTGTAATACACTATGAAACTGAATGGCAACTCACTCAATATTTAATATTTTCTTTTCAGCAGCAAATTTTGAATTTCTTTTTGTAAAACATATTCAGTGTACATTCTGTACTCATCCCCTAACAGCTAGAATTTGGGATATTGGCTGAGCATTGCTTGACAGCTCAGATTTGTAAGATGCTTATCACCAAATAAATGTACATAGACTGTGCTTTGTTTTGTTGTTTGTCTAAATAATGGCTGAACACAGCATATTTTCAAAGTCACATTTATTATCTCCCCATTGCCAGTATTCTACTTTAGAATTTTAGTGACCCATTTGGACAGAATACAAAGACAGGAGATGTATTTTGCAAATGAACGCATGGTGTAGAAATGCTATCCATCTGAAGTATAGCTGCACAGACCGACGCGCCCAAAGGCCAAAAATATGTACTGATATTTCAATATATTTTCTATTGCTATTTGTTAAAGTATTTTCTTAAAAAAGGTTCAGAATAGTGTCACCTGAAAATGACAAAAGTTATAACTGTCTGTTATAATTTTAAAGTGATATCACTAAGCTAATTTCACTATCTCAAGTTGGTATTTTCAGTCCATTTTATTATACATTACTATCAATCCAGTAGATGTTCATTTAAAACAAACTGAAAGCACCTTAGAAACATGTGAACAGTAATGTTTGATTCTCCTTTTTATAATCCTTCACCTTGACTGTGGGAAATTGTCTATATCGTTAAGTTTGTTCCCAAGGACTCCTTATCCATTTGTTCATCTTTTAAAATAAGCATTCATAGAAATTTTTAGTTTGTATTTACAAGAAAACAAAAAATGAAGTGCATGGGAACTCAGTAACTCTGAAAAGCTGTTTTAGAAAATTTTTCTGGAAAGTTTTAGTCCTGAAAGCATATTATAAAACAATGTAACATTTAAGAAATTAAAGAAGCATAAGGTCTGTAATAAATTGATGCTTTAACCAACTGCACTGGGTGAAGTTTCTGGCCAGTCTCATGAAGGTGTAAATTTCCTGTGTTTTTAATGACTGCGGTGGGATCTCTGAGAAATAATTTGGAGTGAATCCTCAATAGGAAATTCAGTTTTCATGATTAGCTAAGATAATCTCAGTTTATGTTTTACATCTCCCCATTAATCATACAGCCCTGCTTATTAAATCTGAAAATACATGAAATATGTAAGACAAATCATGGACAGGACATGATAAGAATATTTTTATTGTGTTATTAAATACCATGTCATTTTTCAATCCCCCACTGTTACAAATTTGTAGATACTATATGAATGATACATAATTTATATTCTATGGTTTGCCAGTATGATGTATTTATTTACACATGCAGTTGGTACCAATGTCATGCTACATATTTCCTTAAGAGATGCCCATTCAAAACAAAATGTGAGCAGCTTATCTACCATAGGAAAATACTTCTGGAGGATGGAATGTCTACCAACTTGCACTGGAAAGTTCAGTATTAATAATATTAGATTTAACTTAGACTCCTGGGTCATGTTCCCTTTTCTTTTTAATAATACACATAATTTAAGCAACATATTTATGTCAAAAAGTGTTTTTTCCTCCTATGGATCATCTTCTTTTTGCTACTTAAGAAAGAACACAGATAAGCCAGGATCTATCAGCCAATAATCAAGGGCCACAATCTCAAGACAGAAATAGCAATTTAACAGCAATACCACTTAAAAGCAAAACAAATTAGAAAATTATTTGGAAACTAAACAGAAATCAAAATTCGGCAATGATTTTTCTAGTTATTGGATATGCCATGGTATCACCTGCACAGCCAAGAAATGAGACATTGTCTTGGGAAGAAAAAGTTAATGCTAAAATTATTTTACTTAAGAATTTGAGATGCTAAGTGAGCATTTTGAGTGTTTTATTTTTGTAACAAATACTCTATACACATCTGTATTAACAGATTTGTTACTTTTTGCTCTAACTTTACAAATGCTTAAACTTAATTTTACATTTGTAAAAAAAAATTATACATTTATTGAGCCATAAAGCTGCAATGAGGCACAATAAATAAAATGAGACTATTTGTCCAATTATATTTTGGCTCAACATTAATCATGAAATTAAAGGTAAAACTATTTAGACATAATTATCTAGGAAGGTAAAGAGTGTAAAATAAAACTCCACACCCTCAAAATATGGCAGCTTGGAGTGTGAGGAAAAAACAAATTGAATAAATAGTCCAAATCTAAAATATTAGGTTACAAATTATTTAAGTCCAGTGTTTTCTCAAATATACAGGAAAGAACATGCATGTTATGGCAGGAATGAAGGCCCGCAAGGATTAACACTTTGTTCGTGCTAAGGTGGTTACTGCTGATCACTGTTGGGCTGCTTGTCTCCTTAGGATTTATTGGCTGAGCCAGAGGAACGACGCAGTTTCATGGACATGCGGCTTTTGCTAGTTCGAGGAGACATTGGAGAGGCCAGGTCAGCCCCATCTACCTGCGTTGCTGTGGGAGCTTCACTGGGTAGAATCTCTGGGTAGGAGCCTGTAGGAAACAGCAAGAACATAAATATATAGTCATCTGGCCTCTCATCTCATAAGACATAACCTTTTTGCTACTGATCTGGAGTAAGGATCCCACCCCTTAATGAGGTCTTTTGAAAAAAAAAAGCAAGCCCCAGATTTGCTTGTTACCACAGCCTGCTAATGTAGTTAAAACCCAGTGATTTGGTGGCTCAGGTCATCATATTAGCCATATAGCGCCAATCATCATGTCCAGAGCCAGAACCCTGGACAAAGCAATGGGAAGCAAAATCTCTGGGCAGAAAAATGAGGAATTCAAAGCACTAGTGGCATGCAAGGAAGGGCACAAGAAGCAGGTGAGAAAGACCAATTCTACTTCTAGGGTTCAGGGAATAACAACAAGAAAAACAAAACAAAAACAAAAAGCTGGGCGGTGGGTGGGCAGACACTTCACTACTCAAACTAGAGGAAAACAGCACTGAACAATTCTAACAGTTAAGTTCCAAAGAGGACTTGGCACCTATGAGACCATCATACATGCTAAGGTGTTTAAGTAGGGTTTTAAAAGGAGCAAGACAGATTCCAGGGGGAGGGAAGAGGATAAGAATTCTCATCTGAAAGTCGGTTAAAGAGACAAACTAGCCTCAAAAACATCTTAATTTAGAAGAAATAAGTAATGCTTTTGTTTCCCTAACTTGAACTTTTGCAGTTATACTATATTCAGTAATAGCATATAGATAGCCAGTGGAATTAGTAGATGTAAAATTTTAAAACAAGCAAAACAAATTCAAATAAGAGAACTCTGTAAGTTACAAAGTAATTCTTCACCTTTGTTTTTTTTTTATGTCTTTGAATTTTGATTCTCCAACATACAGCAATGCCACAGACCCTTGCATGTTGTAGGCAAATTTCATCAAATATTTTCCCAACAAATAAGACATTAAACAACCACACAGATTGCAGGCTTAAACTTAATACTTCTTACTATGTAGGGAGACTTTTGGCATATTTGTTAGCCAATGAGACATCCCACTGACACTTCAAACTTGGAAAAAATGCTAGTACTTCCATATAATGAAACATTTGTACTTAAATTGAAGTTATAAATATTTATAAGAAAAAAACAAAAATGTTCAATAAGGAGTGAATATTCTATTGAGATATCTTAAATAATTAAGAATGCACCTCTGCAGAACATTTCAAAGTGCTTTTAAGGCCAAATGTTATACTTTTCCTTGGAAATGCATATTTGTTCTTAAGTATGTCACTCAAACTCCATGTCAGCTCTCTCCTCAAAGTAACTTTTCCAACATTTTCTTTTCTAAATTGAAATGAGACTGGACTTCAAAATACAAGAAGGAAATATATTTTTGTTCAAATTTACTCCTCCTGAAGATCTGAATTGGCCCATAGTAGACCCATATTGGAAAATTTAGAGAAGAATAGAATTCATGGCCCAGTTAGGGAAGCACTGCAGATGGACAGCAGAAGGAAGGTGAAGAGCAGTATCTCATGCTTTTCTGGTAGTGCATATTATTCCCAGCCATCATGAGAGGCCTTCCCTGGCTGTTACCTTGAGATGGCCAATGTTTTCTAGCGGAGGTTTTGGGAGGAAGAGAACTATCACTGCATTTCTTTCTTTGTTGTGAATGAAGAAATGGAGTAGCAAGCAGAAGCAAGAAAACAAAAGAGAAGATAGATAACAGATATGAGAGACATGGTGCAGAATTTTACAGGTGTTAACTGAGGAGTGGAGAAGAGAGTAATCAGTTCTTTTTATGAAATATAATTGGGCATGCAATGAGTGAGGGTGATGATGTTTCACAATGGTCAGCACTTTGTAAATTCAAGTGTTATACTTACCAACTAACAAAACAAGTTCAAAAAGGAAAAAAAGAAAAAAGGGAAAAAAGTCTATGAGAGTTTTTACAAATGTGTACATTTAAAAATGTTCATTATACTAGTGGACGTTATCCTAACCACTCAGTCATAAAATATCTAGAGATGTACTGTCTAATATGGTACCTATAGCCACATTAAATTTAAATGCAATTAAAATTAAATAAAATTTCAGTTCCTAGGTGTACTAGCCATATTCCAAGTGTTCACAGTCACCTTTGGTTAGTTGCTACCATACTAGAGAGATACAAAACAGTTCCATCATCACAAAAAGTTTTACTGGAGAATACTACTTTGTCAAACTTTATTTTCCTCACTCAATTCTTCAAAAACAAAACCAAAAAAACAAAAAACACACAGAGCTCCATGCAAATTTACTCCATAGCTGTTTTATCCATTTCTATCACAAATTTTTCTTCTTAACTATTCCCATTCCTAAAATCTTTTTCTTTCACTACTTTTAATAATAATATAAATAAAGCTAATCTTCAGCTGCCTGTGTGCATATCCCAGCTTTATCACTTAATTTTTTTTTTTCTTCAAAAACAGCAAATCCTTCATGTCTCCCTTATTGCCTCCAAAATGAAATCCCTCTTTGGTCAACTGAGTGTCAAATAAGGATTTTTGGCACATGTGGTATATAGTTATCTATACCTACTCATATTTTAGCAAATGATAATTGTGGTATATACTGGATACACCCAAACTCTATATAATTTACGGTAGGTAGACCTCAATTTTAGAAGTAAAGAATATAGTGATACCTGCATTTCATTTCACATCCTATTCTGCCTAACTGTTGATTTATACTGAGTCATAAAGAACGCTGATTATATTATATAATTATTTATTAATATATCTTCAAGGACAAGTTTTAAAGTATCTATGGGCTCCTAAGTGCATAATGTATCTGTTATTAACACTCTTACAGTGCTCATAGAGACTGTGCCTATGTCTTTTTTTTTTTTTTTTTTTTTGGTGCTGCCAGGGACTGAACCCAGGGCCTTGTGCATGCGAGGCTTACCAACTGAGCTATATCCCCAGCCCTGAATCTTTGTCTTTGATAGTATAATAAACTGGTTCATATACTATACATTGATTATAATAAACTATTATAAATAACATCATGAATATAACTTTGGGGATTTATACATTATAAAAGGAACTCAATGGATAGTTATTTATTATCATTTTATTTATACTGTTTAGTAGTTCTAAACTGGTCATGTTTGTCATCAAAGTTATTGGGAAAATACAGCCTTTTAAAATACTGTAACTTTGAAAGTAGCTTGAATTAACACTGATCTAAAAAACAATATGAATGTGTTAGAAAGAATACGGGCATGGATTAGATTAAATACCAAGTTGTCACTTTACTAGCTGTTTAATCATGAGCAAACTGACTCCAGACATTTTGTTATTTGTAAAATGGAGAAAATAATAGTTATTTTACAAAGTTGTGGGAATTAGTGACTATATATGCAAAGATACTGGCATGTAGTATGTACACTGTAAATGTAGCTATTTGATAAAGCTATTAAATAAAGAGCAAAAGTTAACAGACTGAAAAAAAACAGATGAGGATTACAAAGGATCAGAAACTAGAAACAGTTTTGAAAAAAATAATTACTTATGAAATATAATTGTTCAAATGTGGAGAACACAACATACCCTTCTTTAAGGTAAATACCCTTCGTTTAGGGAAATCAAAGAATTTATCCTTTCTTATGCTGATGAGCCTATGAAATACAACCTTATGTTAAAGGTCAGATTACCCAAATAACCTTACTGCTTTAATATTGTTAAAGGATTTGATAAGTGCTTAAGAGTAGCATGAATATAGCACTGAATGTCAAGAGGGAAACATAACACATCATTTAAAATAAAACAGTGAAGAAATACAGGCAAACAAGTATTTTCATTTTAAGATATTTAAGAACTACTATTGCTCAGACTTAAAACCAGGTTAAACTTGTAACAGTTTACTTCCTTCTTACAAATGAGAAAACTGGGTGTAGGAGAGATTAATTTGAGTTTGTGTGGATAATAAATGGCAGGATAATGATTTAAATCCAGATCAGTCTGATTTCAAAGCCCATATTTTTTTAGCTGGCAACCTTAAAAATTATTTAAGATGGGCCGGGGATGTGGCTCAAGCGGTAGAGCACTCGCCTGGCATGCGCAGAGTGCTGGGTTCAATCCTCAACACCACATAAAAATAAAGATATTGTGTCCACCTAAAACTAAAAAATAAATATTAAAAAAATATTTAAGATTTTTCAATGTCTAGGAAAAGTAGAGCCCTCAAAATAAAAATTTCCAATAATTTCTAATTTGTAATTATGACAAAATTTTGGGCCATCTCTCTCTCACCTGTACCAACAGCAAGAAGAGGATGAAAATAAGATTGTGTAATTGTAATAATTAGGATCATGTACTCTGAGATCAGATACATCTAGATTGGAATCCTGGCTTCCTTGAGTCCTAGATGCTCCTGGATAAGCTTTTATTTAGGAAAACTTCAATGAACTACTCTGAAGATTGAGAGAATGCAGCTTATGTGAGGTGATGTACATCTTGTAATCCCAGCACTCAGGGGGTTAAGGCAGGAAGATGATGAGTTTGAGGCCAGGTTGGGCTACTTAGTGAGACCCTGTTTCAAAATAAAATTTATAAAAAGTGCTGGGGGGTGTATATAGCTCAGTGATAGAATACTTGCTTAACATGCATGAGAACCTGTTTTGAAAACTCAGTATTGCAAAAACAACAAGAACAAAAGCATATGTAGTTTTAGTTTCAGCAGAGTGTCTGGCACTCAGTAAACCACTCAATTATTACGTTATTATTTTCATAACAAAAATCCCACACCCAAGTGAGTGTTCTTTGTGGAAACTGAACCTAGTAATTATTGTTACAAAAGGTTAACAGATATTATTTAAGATTAGTATTATTTGCCTCTTACTCAAAAACATATAAGACAAATTTTTAAGTTCAAAGTACTGAAGAGGATAGGACGTATTTGGCTGCTTATAATTTCATACCTTATGTCACATATTGAAGGAAACTGACTTTTCTATTGGCATTTGCAAATAATATTTAGGATGTTTATATAATATCTTTGTGGGGCTAAAATCTTTTCTTTCAATCTTGTAATTCCAGGGACTTGGGAGGCTGAGGCAGGAGAATCTCAAGTTTGAGGCCAGACTCAGCAATTTAGCAAGGCCCTAAGCTAACAGCAAGACCCTGACTCAAAATGAAAATAAAAGGGCTAGGGCTGTAGTTCAGTGGTAGAGCACTCCTAGGTTCAATTCTCATTACCAAATACAAAAAGAAACAAAAATAGCAAACTCCCACCACCCAACTTTCTTTCAGATCATTTCAAAGCCTGGGAAGAGGAGAAATTTAAAGTTAGTTTTAAAGAAGATCACCAAGCTTAAAAAAAAAAAAATTACCTAAAGCAATGGCTAAAATTTAATGATCTGTCCTACTCAAAAGATTCAGAAAGACAGGTTAGAATTAATGGTTATCAGATCTATCTATATACAGCAATACAAATTTTGTGAGACTGAGGTTACAATAAAGGTAGACTAGATGCTACTCTGGGTCTTCATAGTCACTCTAGATTATCTCTTACTTTGATGGCATATAAGTTATATTTGAATCTTATTAATTTTATAAGACTTCTTTGATTGCAAATTGATGTTTGTAAGGTAATTATAAAAAACGGTCTGTATATTTGGATATGCATGTGCATATATATTCATGTTTCTCTGTGTGTGTATATATGTGAGTGCTTCCAAAATTTCTAGCATAATCTGCTGAAAAATAACCCAAAGGAAGAAATCTCCTGGCTCAATTAGAATATTTACTGTATACTTTTTGTATCCTATTTTTGTTGGCATTTTTGAATTTTTTATTATAACAATAGAAAGATGATTTGAAAGGTAACACATATTAGAGGAAAATGTGAACATTTTTGAACTACCACTGTAATTTAGCTAAGAAGAGTGATTTCATTTTGAAGTTCACCGTTAGAAATGTTATAAATACAAAACAAGTTTAAAAAAAGAAGGTCGCTATAAAACTTTTGATATTTTCCACATACATGCCTGACAGAGATAAAAGGATTTTTTTCCTGTAATTTTTTTTTTAAAATAGAGGACAAGAAAAATCTAATAATATTTTAATGTAGTTATGGAAGATCAACAAAGTGTGACATCACAATATTTCCCTCAATGACCTTAGGGATAAAAATAATTTCCCCTAAGTATCAGTCTACTGACACAGACAGTACACTTTGAGAAAATAAAGTTATAACTTATGGGTTGATTATGGTAACCCAAATCTTTCATGTCTCTTTAATACTAGAAGTTATTTATTTAAAAAATATTTTTGAGGGCTGGGATTGTGGCTCAGCGGTAGAGCGCTCACCTAGCACGGGCACGACCCAGGTTCGATTCTCAGCACCACATAAAAATAAAGGCATTGTGTTGTGTCCATCTACAAAAAAGACTTATTTTCTCTCTCTCTCTCTCTTTAAAAAAAATTTTTTAATTTAAATGTCACCACAGTTGGTATATTACTGTTAAGAGGAAATGAGTTTTACATCATATTGAAGCAAATAAACTTAAAAAATTAGTTGTTTTTTAAAATTTTTGGTGTTAGGGATTGAATCTAGGGCTTCAAACATGCTAAACATACATGTATATACCACTGAGCTATACTGTAAGTCCCCCAAAATAATATTTTTCTATACTATTCCACTGAGTAGAAATGTTATGAAATATGAACATATGAATATAATCATCACTGTGCATTTCTTCAAAATGTAATTTCAAATTACTGCATTAGTATTTGATTAGTATTGTATATTTTTTGGCAGTATTATTTCATATATGTAGGCTATGCATAGGATATCTAAAGTTGATTCTGAACTGTAATTATGAATCCTTTTCCTCATGTGGCAAATTTTACTATGTTGAAAAAATGAACCTAATGAACTTCAAATTTTGTCATTTTTGCAAACAAGAAGTCATTTCCACATTGCTATTGCTATTCTGTGGGTCTTTCATGTCTTCTCTCCCACTCTGAGTTAAAACTTTAAAGAGGGCTTAATATGTGTGAGGTGGAATATGAAGGAAAATTGAAATAAATGGGAGAAAAAATTATTATTCAGATACTATGTTTTTGCTACTAGAGGAATACATATATTTTATTTATTTTATTGAACTGAAAAACCATGCTGATAAAAAATTTGTCATGATTATTAAAGTTTGCAAAAAGCACATAAAAATGTATTCAGTAATACTCTCATAAGTTGTTTACAGGCAAAAATACCCTTTCACAAATTAGAGTCCACGTCTTATTGTTTCCTAAAGGCAAAGACAATTAAAAAAAAACTAATTGAAATAAAACTATAGCCACAATATTAGGTTGATGTTCAAATTCACCTTTTTATTACTACTTAGATAATTGGGTCTTAAGTAAATTAAGAATACTAATACATTAAAAATGAAGCCAACAGCCTTGACTTGGCTGCTGTAGCATTATTTGATGAGCATTTCAGAAAGTGAGAATATGACTTCCTATATTGCATACCTAGCTAAAAGTGTAAGATACTATGTAAAATATGAAAACACCATCAAGATGACAAATATGAAAGATTATAGCTGTGAAACAATAACATTAAAACTGAACTGACCTTATAAATATAAGGGGAAAAAATTAGTCCAAATGTGACCTGGTTATCAGTATTTCTCAGTTGTGCGGTTTATGGCTTGACTATGAGGTACACAAAAGTGTTACTCATATCAATTTTAATACAGTCTGGTAATTCATCAGATATTCTTTATTATTAAACAACCACAATGCCAAGTATACTTAAGTTTTCATTTTTGCTGTTAATTAGTCTACTTTTAGTATCTTTTACCTTCTTTCTAAATGCCAAACTGTAATTTTAGATAGTGTCAATCCATTAAAGCAAATCTTATAATTTATCTATTTTCAAGATCCAACCCAGTTTAATGTGATTTTCTCTTTGCTAGGTTTTTTATATTAACTGAAATGGATTTAAGATTTTTGGTAAAATTATTTTTCTAATGGCAAATTAATGATGACAGGAATGGAAGCTTTAATTCCATTAACTAAACCTCAATTGAAAATTACAGTAATTTATTTTTCAAATAGATTAGGTTAAAGAAAGAGTGCTATGCCTTTTAAACTTATAAAGAAAACATAGTTAACATAAAGAGAACTTTAACTTCATTTCATATTCTCCTTTCCTGCATCCTATTACAAAAGTCAGTTTCTATTTCAGGTGCCTAGTACAGTGCAAGGCACACAGAGAGTAACCAAGAAGACTTAAGATATCCAATAACAATGCAATACATTACAAATACAAAGACACACCACCTTTAGTTCAATAGTACTATTTTTTCATGCTGAAAAACAAACAAACAAACAAAATAAAAAGCATCAGTATAACAAGGTGTAACTAATTTCAGCCATGGGGTTCTATTATTAGTTATTTTAATCCCCAAACCATGTTAGTGTTTCATGCAGACCTGGGTTAGTTAGTATAATTCTGGAAAAAATTTAGTGACAATTTCTGAAGTGTTTAGTATGAACCAGAGTATTGTTAAGTTTGTTTACTGTCTGAGTTACAAGCTTAGAGCTTGCTAATTTTGAAAAAAGAAAATGGGAGAAGAACAGAGGGTGTTTTGGTTGACACTTTATCTTACCTTCAGATAAACAGAACTGATATTTAATGATCTAAAGAGGGAAAATAAAATAAATGAAACAATCATAAGGAGTGCAAGATATTACAGAATAGGAAGGCCATGAGTCATTTATTTTCTTACTGATTTCTTCAAAATTAGTTAATTATATTAATGCAGTACCCTCTGAACAATCCTTAAATATAACAATTTGTCATATTAGGTACTTCTAAATCTAGACCAGTTTAGTTTTATTTGTAAAATTAGAGATGACGAGGCAATATTCTTGGCCATAAAATTTGATCCTCTAAAGTTGAGAGTACATGCTCAACTTGTGTTTCTTTTGCAGATAGTTCAGTAATGATCCCATGAGAAGCAAGGGTCATGGACTATTATTAGCTCAGATAAAATGTGGTGCATGTACTTGTATGAAGATTGTTGACTTCTGGAGGAACTGCAGTTAGATAAAGCGAAACAAATCAAATTTACAGGCCAAATTTGAATAGTGATAAAAAATGTGTATATTTCAATGATTAGAATTTTATTCAAGCAAGTTTTTAGAACAAAAGGGTATTGCATTTCAAGTTCCAGTGACAATAAGTAACTAATACTTGCTTTTAATCTTACCGGCATCAGATGGTAAATGATGGTAGGGAGCTGGAGAAAAAACTTGTGCTGCAAAATCTTCAAATGTTGTTGGTTCTAAATGGTGCTGGACAATTGTTTGCAGATATCGTGCTCTCTCCTCATAGCTGATTTCCTTCTGTTAAGGATGAACTTAAATGCAGCTTATACGGGAAAGGAACAGCTCTCATCAAAAAAAGACCAATATGATTGCTAAACTTCACTGCTTCTTAGTAAATTAGTCACTGATTATTCTTGCATATGATTAAAAATATGCCATTTTAAAGCATAAAATGTACTTCTTAAGTTTACTCCTCATGATACCACTAAATGACAGCTTAACAGGGAGATATTTATTAGAAAATAATTATTATACTGACATACTCGAAGAGCAAATAGTTTACTTGAGAAAGGATTCAATTACTCTCAGGTCAGCTCCTCTTGCTAATAAGCTTCCATCGGCAGATGTACTCTCAAAAGCCATGCAATAAATATTATAATGCTGCCTTTAAGATACTTTGTCCAAAATTCTATATTTTTCATTGGAAAAGACTCATTGTAAAAATTCCTGCATATCTTCTTCATTTTCTAAAATCACTGCATTTTCTCAACAATTGTTCTCATTTTAAATGGAAGACTTCTGTTGCTATAATCCTGGAATAACTCCATGCGGTTAAGATAAATACATAGCTGAATCTGTGTGTCAGGAAAAAATACCTAATCAATTATAACACTGAAACAAGCAGGAATATTTGCAAAGAGTCCACAGGACTCCTAAATACTGTCTAACAAAGCATCTACAGGGCACTGACACTGACAGAAAAATACTGTACTTCTCTTTCACCACATTTTCTTCTCTGATATTATTGACAAGCAACCAGTACCTTGAAGTGTTGTTGCTTTTGAACAACCCACTCCAGGCTTCCTGTTTCAGCAGGTCTGATTGTGCTGTTAGCACAGAAAGGGCGAGAAAGAGAGAGAATATTTCTGTTGTTCACGAAAGCAACTATGGAAATGGCTGTCAAAATGTAGAGCAGCAGGCAGCAACATACAATTATCAGGAAAAACTCACATGCTGACTTCATGTCGTATAGTTCTTGAACTGAGAAATCAGTTAACCTTTCTTCTACAACTTTTAAAAGTTTTCCTGCTGTACTCAGTGTGCTATGTTGACATTTAAATAAGGATAATAAAAAATGTACACAAGACATTTAAATAATAATAAAGATTTGCCTATTGATTCTTCTTTTTTTACTGAATTTTTTTCTAAAACCAACTTTAATATTTCTTCCTTAAAATTCCTTATTCTTCAATTATAGTTCCACAATTCTAGAAATTGTGGACCAAGTCTATACACAGACCAAAGAAATTAATTTGAGACGAAGCAATTTAAAGTGATAATTCAATGGGAGATACCACAGCCAGTTAGTTTGTAAAAGTTCATTAAGGTAAAAAGACTAGGAGTTAAAGACTATAGTATAATCATTATGCATTTGACTTTGATTATGATATCTTTTGTCCCTTAAATGGCTTTGTATTACTGGGGTTGAACTTCAGAAGAATCTTACTTCTGAAATGGGTAGCGATTAGATGTTATATTAAAATGATTGATGATAAGGATTTTGTGGAATAACAACAGATATTTTTTAGCCCAATTTAACAGGGAAAAGTAACACAGCACACTTTTAAAGGGAGTATATGGTTATAAACGGCAGAGGATGAAACTGATGGTTCAATCTAAATAATACTACATATCTCACAACTTGTTGGAAAGTACTTTTTTCATTGGGGGAGATTCACAGCTGCCGAATTTTCTGCAGTTAATAGAGTCCTTTGATTCACAGCAGTGCCCCTTGTACAAAAAATACTGGCCTTTGTGTATTACCAGAAACTAATTTTCTATTTGGCTGAAAAGGGAAAAATGGGGTTATTGCTTCTCCCTCCTACAGAGCTTTTCATTATGCCTGATGCACTCAACTTCTAAGCTCTTCTGAGAAAAAAAAATAACTGAAGAGGCAAGAGGTAGAAAAATGAGCTTGTTAGCACATTAGAAGTGAAGTATCTTGGTGGGCCCTAGAAATTCCCAGTGGTGTGTTAACTTATCACTCTATGCATGCTGGCACTGATAGTCTCCCAATTGATCACTCTCTTTTCGCACCAAAGGTGCTGCCAGGAAGCAAAGGCTGCAGGCCCACAGGAGAACAGTCTGCTATCAAAACAAGCTGTTTTTAAAAGTCTGCTTGAATGGGTAAAACGCTTCATGAAAAGTAGGGTGGAGACACCTACCTGCTTTGAAAATGCTCTACTTTCAGAGGGCCTATAAATGAAATATTTTACTTTATCTTATTATATTTAGAGTTTATACAAAAAATTAGGCAGAAAGAAAGCAAATGTTAATATTTCTAAAACAAGATATTTCTAATGTAAATTTATCAGAGGAAAAAAATTATTATCTAAATAAAACACATTTTGAAAAGTAATTCTACTTTGCTATACAAAAGGAGGTTTATAAAACAGAAGAAACTAACACACAGGGCACAAAACTAAATTATCCTGATATAACATCTTCATTTTATATGAAAACACAATTTTAATAAAATTACAATAAATCTTTGATAGGGAATACAATGTTTTCTAAAATGATTTTTTTTTGAGTCTAGGTGGCAGAATGAAAGAAAATAACCATTAGTAGTTAATTTTAAATGGGAAATGACAGTAGTCATCACACAGGCTAACATCTAAAGTTACCTGTGAAAACACTGTTAGCTTGATAAATATAGTTTAAGATAACTCACCTTCTAAAAGCTAAATTTTTTCCTAATTTTTCAGTTTTGATGTAGACAAATAATATCAAAACAGATCAACCCAATCTATAGTACATTTGCCTTTGCCCTTTTTACTTCAGAAAACATATATTAAAGACATATAATAAACTCTAAGTACTTAAACCATAGTCCTGGATCTACAACAAGGGACTTTTGTGATTGTAATGATTATAAACTTCCTAACAGTGCTGTCAACATCTGAAATTGTAACCAGAATCTAAAGCAGTTAATCCCTGTATCTCCTTATAATAAGTTGGGCACTTCTTTCTTACAAAAGGCAGCTCTTTAGGTAAGAGTTATTAGTACCTATAAGTTGAGTGGCATACACAAACTTGATGGCTAGCAACAAGAGGACAGCTCTGGCTATATTCTTACTGTAAGTGTTGCAAATGGCATTAAAATTTAAAAAAAATTGAAATGGGCAAGATAAAAAGGTGAAGGTAAACTAACAAAAATCCATATTGTTTTATTACAAATCCATAATGTTATATTAAAATGATTGGTGATAAAGATTTAAACAAAAGTTTAAAGTACAGATCTAAGTTGAATTGAGAGGGTTTTGTTGTAGATTTAAAACAACTCAAGCCAAAGTTAGCTAAAAATACATTCGATAAGGGAGACTCTTAGCTGGTAGGAATCTTTAATATGGAACTAGCCAATCAAAAGAAATAACACACAGGTGCTGCAATCATAGCAATATAATTATCCACTAATCCTCCTTCCTTCTTTCTGCAAAAGCAGAAAAGGAAAGGAATATTACTGTTCTAAAAATAATAAAGGGAACCAAAATTCTCTTTAACAAAGAAATAGTTTAAATTTAATCTGCATTTCAGTAATAGTAACATCATTACACATTTAAGTAATTACTTTTAATTTTAAACTTCAAGACCAGCTGTTATAAAACAGGGTTTCAATTTCATCTTAGACTTGGAAAAATAGGTATATGAATTCTCTTAAAAATAGTTTATCTGTATGTTAATGAGAATACTACCACCTGCTCCTATTTACTTTATTGGGGTATAAAAGTATATAAATACAGGGTAACCTAAAAGTGCCCCTACATCTGAGGTTAAAATAGTTTATTTTGATGTTTGGCTCATGTCTTTGTAAATAGCAAGTGCTATTTCTTGGAGGACAACTTTTCAATGTTGGTTTAAGAAATGTACCTATATTCATATGCAAGAACTCTTTGATAATATTTGTAATATTTATTTGTAATATGTAAATAGGGACTTTTGATTTATTTTGATGTAAGGAAATTGATTTCTCATGGTAAAAAACAATATGAAGAAAAGATGTCAAAGGTTAAGTAATATCAAGTATTTAACTTTTATTATTATATATATAGGGAGAATAAAGGTAGATTTATTTATATATATATATATATTTTTTTTTTTTTTAATTTTTATTTTTTTTAAGACAATGTCTGGCTAAGTCGCCCATGCTGGCCTTGAGCTTGCTTGCAATCTTTCTGTCTCAGCCTCCAGAGTCACTGGAATTACAGCCATGTGCTGCTGTGCCTGGTCAGATTTGCTTTTAAAGAAGCAACAACCCAGCCAGGTGTGGGGGCACATGCCCATAATCCAAAGGGCTTGGGAGGCTGAGACAGAAGGATCACTGAGCACAGTGAGACCCTGTCTCTAAAATATAATACAAAATAGGACTGGGGATATGGCTCAGTGGTTGAGTGCCATCAAGTTCAATCCCACTGGAAGTAACAACCCTCATTCTCTACAAATTTCTTGCTTTTACTGTTAAAAATGGGAACACTTTTCAGTTTTTTGATCACTGGTTCCATGGCAGACCCCAGTGGGTTGTACATATAGCTCAAATTATTATCACATTATTATTAATTTATGACTAGCCTAAAAGAAATGGAAATTTTTATGTGTATATACATACATATTACACAAAAGAATGAATATAAAATATAATTTTCACAAAGAAATTATGAAAGTTAACAGCTGTAGGCAAATAACAAAGATCTATATTATCACTTAATTATTTTCCTCTTAAGTTCATGTTTAATGTTTTATTTCCTAACCCAGCAAAAGCACTGGCTCACTTTTAAACAAAGGCAAGTATGCAGTGTTTATTCCTGTACTCAATGGTATACAGTCTCAGGGATTAAAGGTCCACTCTGAAATTCCTAAATTAGTGAACATTTACCTTAGAATTGCATATTTCAGTGCCTTCTTCGAAGTTTTAATACTTAGGAATTTCATTTCCCTCTCTATGTAGAATATTCCAAGAATAATAGCCATAGGAAAAGAGACAATTCCAAAAGTAAAAACTGCTTAGAA